CTAAATAGTACATTTTGGGGCCTGCTCTTCATATCTGAGAGTCAAATAGAAGCGTCAAATAGTGCGCTTACTGCGCAGTTGTAAACATTCTAATTGTTTTGCTGCTAATCTGCTGCTTACATTGGAGTTTTAAAAAGTCAATTTTTAATTTTCTTTTTTTTTTTGGTGCTAAATAGTATATTTGGGGTGTTCACTTCATATCTGGGAGTCAAGTTGAAGTGTAACTTTGATTCGAATTTACTACATCGGTCACTTGTAATATTGTTCCACACCTACAACACTTATTACACAGATCTAAGTGATAGAAAACAGATTGATATTTTCCACACTAGAAACTACCAGATAACAAGCTGCTATATTTAAACCAGTTATCAAAAGCTAAGAGGTACTTAAACAATATTGTGCGGTTTGGAGGAAGAGGCGCTGTTCGCACAGAGGCACCAGCACAGCATAAGAGGGAGCAGGGTGCAAAAGCGGAGCCGCGGTCCCCTAGCGCTCGTCGACATGTATTAGCTTGAGAATTACCAGTTATCCAAGTAATACATGTAGCGATCAAAGGATCCATAATAGAGTTGTGCGAACCCGAACTGCAAAGTTCGGGTTCGTACCAGATTTAGCGATCCATTCGTAGTTTCACAGTCAGGTTGGCAGTCCGGTGACCAGGACCCAGATACTGTCTGGGCGGCGGTTGGATGATCGGGACCCAGTATGCCTGATGTTGAAGTTAGGAGTCACAGTGTGGAATGGATTAGCAGGGTCTGGTGCAGGGTAACCGTACGCCCTCTGGTGTTGAGCACCAGCGTTTGTGCGGCCACATACCAGGACCCTGATGCAGCTTCAGTAAAAAAGTACTGGATACCAGAAGCCATCACCAGACTGATCTGCAACTTGGAACAGGATGTGACATTCACTGTAGCGCCTATGCGCGCTTTTGGTGTTCTCACCCTGCTAACTTCCGCCTTCCTGCTCACCGCCTCATGAGACTGTGCGAGCAGCAGCAGGCGATAGTGGAGTTTCAGCTGCAGCACGCACGGGTCAGTTGCTCTGCACCAGCCTTCCCTCCAATTGATCAGAGTTAAAGAATTTCAAATGGACTCATTACAATTACAGGGCCTCTAAAGAGTCCTGTATTGTTATTTGTCGTCACTATCTTCCCGCGCCGGGAGTGGGTAATTTGCGCGCCTGCTGCCTTCCTTGCATGTGGTAACCATTTCTCAGGGGCCCTGTACAGAATGGAACCCTAATTCCCCGTTACCTGTGGTCACCATGGTAGGCGTAGAAACTGGCATCGAAACTTGATATGGATGACATCCGAATGCAAAGTCGCCATCAAAATTTATTTATTTTTTTAAATATATATATATATATATATATATATATATAAAACAGTGATGGCTACCTCATCCTCCTCCTCCACCGCTGCTTCCACCTACACTGCCACGGTCACCGCCTCCTCAACTTATGGGTCACTTAGTATAAACTATGTACACAATAGTAGAGGCTTGTGAAGAAAACTGGAATCAAAAGTTGATATGGATGACATCCGAATGCAAAGTCGCCGTCATGGGGATGTGCGACTGGCCCGAGGTTCTCTAGAGTCAACAAAGTGCCTGCACAACTATAATGTCAACAGCTACTCTGCGGAACAGCGTTGTCTTTTTTCATATGTCCCAATATTTTGGGGGCTACCCCAATTAAAAAATAAATAAAAATAAATATATATATATATATATATATATACATATATAGAAAACAGTGATGGCTACCTCATCCTCCTCCTCCACCGCTGCTTCCACCTACACCGCCATGGTCACCGCCTCCTCAACCTATGGGTCCCTTACTATAAACTATGTACACATTAGCAGAGGCTTGTGAAGGCCTTTTCTCCATGCATCAGGAGTTGAGCATTTCTCCATGCATCAGGACTGCAAGAAATGCACCAGAGGCAGCAAATGTTTCATTTTTTTATATGTCCCAATATTTTGGGGGCTATCCCAATTAAAAAAAACAAAAAAACAAAACAAAAAAAACCAAACAAATAAAAAACAGTGTTGGCTACCTCCTCCTCCTCCACCACCACCGCTTCCACCTACACCGCCACAGTCACCGCCTCCTCAACCTATGGGTCACTTAGTATAAACTATGTACACAATAGCAGAGGCTTGTGAAGGCCTTTTCTCCATGCATCAGGAGTTGAGCTCAGTTTGAACAATGAAAGAGAATATCCTGCACTCCAACCCTCTCTCAAATGGATAATTCTGGTGATCATCCTGACAGCCATGCTTTAGATTTAGATTTATGTTCTTCCAAAGCTAAAATCAAAGATTCAATCTAGTGCTATTTTATGGCTCTGCTGTATTTTTAATTTTTAGGTATTTTATGTTATTTTAAGTGATTTCCCTATCCACATTTGTTTGCAGGGCACTTGTCCTACTCTCACCCGCATTTTACTAACTTTTGCAGCTCTCCAGGAGCCCTTTCCAGGAGTTTTTTAGAGGCATTTTTGTGTCCAAAAGTTCGGGTCCCCATTGACTTCAATAGAGTTTGGGTTCGGGGTCAAGTTTGGGGTCAGGTTCGAGCCCGAACCCAGACTTTTTTTCAAAGTTCGGCCGAACCAGCTGGACCCGAACATCCAGGTGTCCGCTCAACTCTATACATAGTCCCAGGTTCCTTAACCCTGCAAAGGTAATTATTGTAGTTTCTAATAAAGTCTACCAGACAGCCATTAGAGGGACTTCCGGGTTGCGAGGCGACTTTTGGCCGTCTGACGCTGGATGTCCTCACGCTATGCATGAGGACATCCAGCATCATGCAAAACGCCATAGCAAAGCATTATACATGCTTTCCTATGAGGGAAATACTAATGCAAGCTTGGCCACTTCCGTGCACACACGGCAGCAGAGGCGGACCTCGAACCAGCACCGAGGAAGATCAGCACTGGACTCAGGTAAGTGACAGAAGGGGTTTTTGACCCGTTCTGCACCAGAGGGGTGAGGGGGGCACTATAGGAAGCTATACTGACAGAAAAATAACTTTGTTTTTTCTGGCAATATAATTTCCCCTTTAAATTCAATTACACTGTTCTCTAATTTGGTATATTTCAAGCAAGAAAAGGACAAAAATATCAATCAAGTACATATGTGAGACATTTGTTTCCCAGGGTCTAATCCTCTTTATAGTCCTTAATGTATATGTATATGTATAAGAAGTGATCCATTCATTTTCTAGAGACATAGAGCGGTAGCCATGACGTGAAATGTATAACTCTGAGTATAACAACTTTATCTTGAAGACTGATTTGTGGAGACAACTCACTTTGAAGATATATTCCATAAAAGGAGTTAACATGAATGGATACTTAATGGACACACTTGCACTGTGCCTACTTGATGCTTTCTTGCAATAAAATATTATATCTATACTGTACATGATGGTTTCTCTCCTGGGTTGACATTACTCTGTAATAAGAAAATGTTAATCAACTATTTTCTTGGCTACTCCAACACATATTAAATATAAAGACAAAAAGGACATTTAAAAACAAAAGAAAAGTATCAAACATCTCCCATGTTATCATGTACATGGGAGATCTTAGATGCATCAAAGAGCTCCCATGTTTCTTTGAAGTTTGTGTGCCATGGTTTGCAATCACATGGTGATGCTATTGTAGTGTAAATTAATTTTCTATAGGTTCCTACTCTGGACTATGCACTAAGAATGATGCTTCTGGGGTCCAAACTTGTCTCTGCTCTCAACTGTATATCACATAACCACTATTCCCAAAACCATTTGCTCTAACTTAACTCTACCTTCCACTTATTGCCCGTTGCCACCATTTGCTTAAATGCAATGAATTTCTTCTCATGTACTCATGCTAAGCCTAGTGTACACTACATTAGCCAATTAATACATCAATTACACCAATGCATTTTATAGATACATTTCATAGCTTTAATAATTTGCTAAATAGGCTTTCTCATTAGCTCAGCTGGAGCAGAAGAGACATCATTTATTATTTCAATGTTAAATCTAATTGAAATAATTAAGTTTTACAATATTAAGAGAACGATAAAACAAAAATAAAACCAAAATAAATGAAAATACAGACTGTAAAACTATCCTAATTAAAACCACTTCTGGCATGCATATTTCTCCATAGAGCGTAGCACCATTTCTCAAAATACATTTTGAGTATATGCTAATTAACATTAAAGAATATTTTACATTTGAACTATGAAAATACTGTGCTTTAGTGACTCCTTACAGGGTCTTGTACCTGTATCTTAGGACCAGAATGTTAAATCATTTATAGCTGCTAGCATAGGATATATACTTTTCTTTGCTATTTTCAAGATACAATATGATATTTAAAAAAAATGAAGACTACATGGGCTAATTGGTGATTACTATCTATGATTCTACATCAGGCTCCTTTCCTATGTAACTGGTTCCCACATGGTCTAGCTATTCATTTTTATACATTCATACATTTTTGCGAAATGATCTTATCTTTTAATTAAAGGCAGTTCAGATGTAAGAGAACACACACACGGTGCTTAAATTAATCTTGCATGTATCAGAGCACTTGGCTCTGTATGGCAACATTTAGCATTTATTTCTAATTATTCATTTTTGTTTTAGACACTGAAGAACTTTTTTACATTGCACATATGTTTATGGTTAAAATATTTCTCAAAATTGGGCTTCGCTGAAAGCCCATAACCATTTTCCTTAACTCACTGGTGATTGCAACTCAGAATAGATAATGCAAGGCAGTAACATGCAGGTCTACATTACATCAACACAGAGGTGTCATGGTAACAACAAGTCCCTGCTCTCTCAGGTGCATACGAAATGGAAATACAAATAGAAATCCAGTTGTAATGCTGCCCAATGAAAAGGGGGAGTGGAAAAAGAAGAAACACAGCATAAAACACGACAAAAGAGTAGAAAATTTGAACGGTCAAGAGAAATACATGGCACACAAAATAGAAGAGCACAAACCAAAATGTACAAAAACAAGAGAGCTGCCTAAACTGCATATTGAATGGCAGCTCATTACCAAGTCAAATTCATGTTCATAGGTGCCTATATAAACAAGAATCTTAGACTCTGCCGCATTACCTTAATAGATACCCACCACTCTCAGGCCTCACTTCACACTCAAACTCAGTGAAGAACTGCATTTAACATCCTGCAGAAACACCCACCACTCCCAGGCCTAACTTTACACTCAAACTCAGTGAAGAACTGCATTTAACATCCTGCAGAAACACCCACCACTCTCAGGCCTGACTTTACACTCAAACTCGGTGAAGAACTGCATTTAACATCCTGCAGAAACACCCACCACTCTCAGGCCTCACTTCAAACTCAAACTCAGTGAAGCTCTGCATTTAACATCCTGCAGAAACACCTGCCACACTAAGGTACTGACTGAATCTTGGAAGATACTCCACCTCATTTATTCCTGGATTGCTACCATATTCTCATGTGTTACTATAGATGTGTTACCATTTATACCTGTAGTTTGCCACTGTAATTTTCTGTGCATGTAGTTTGTACTATTGTCATTTAATGTTTCTGACCAATATTTCATGTAACCAGTTATTAATATTTTGGGTGATAGAATTTGGTTGCTAAACTTTTCAATAGTATATAACACTTGACTACTCTACCCTCCTCCCCCCCACCCCTCTCCCTTCCCTCCTCCCCCTTCAGCCATGCTGAGTTTATCAGGTATACGGGCGCATGGTTGCAGATGGGCACAAATATTCCTGTCAGGACGGTAAATACCCTCATAAATGTTTCTATGTGTGGATGAATCAGTTACAGGGAGGAAATGAGATTCAGTTTCCAGAGAGACACACAGCAAGGGCTAGTTGGATGAACAGATAAGTGGACCAAAAGCCTGGACTAGACTCCCATCAGCATCAGTCAGAACCGAGATCTGGCCGCCTAGCACTTGTCCAGATCTGTCCAGATCTGGCCGCCAAGCTCTCCCTGCGGCCGCCAGCACACCTATCTGTCTAGTCTACCCACCCACAGGTAGAAAAAAGTATGTGTCAGTCTGTCAGTGGGAGTGTGTGCGTGTCTGTGTCATGCTGTGTGTGTGTCTGTCTGTCATGGTGTGTGTGTATCTGTGTCATGCTGTGTGTGTGTCTGTCTGTCATGGTGTGTGTGTGTGTCTGTGTCATGCTGTGTGTGTGTGTGTCTGTCTGTCATGGTGTGTGTGTGTGTGTCTGTCTGTGTCATGCTGTGCGTGTGTGTGTGTGTCTATCTGTCATGATGTGTGTGTGTGTCTGTGTCATGCTGTGTGTTTCTGTCTGTCATGGTGTGTGTGTGTGTCTGTCTGTCATGGGGTGTGTGTGTGTGTGTGTCTGTGTCATGCTGCGTGTGTGTGTGTGTGTGTCTGTCATGGTGTGTGCGGGTCTGTCTGGCGTCTGTGTCATGCTGTGTGTGTGTGTGTGCATGTGTCTGTCTGTCATGGTGTGTGTGTGTGTCTGTCATGGTGTGTGTGGTCTGTCTGTGTCAT